CTGCTCTCTGCACCTGAGCGAGCTATGTTTGTCGTCTCTGAGCTGCTTATGAGCTGTTCTGTTTCCAGGAATGAAAAGCCTTCTCTATAGTATCCATCCCTTTTCTTTGTACAGTTCTTTACAAAATGTCTCCAAGCTTGCTGCTTTCTGTTGATGATTACAGCAGCCAGCAGTTTCTGAGTGCTTGCTGGTGGCCAGGCACGGGATGGCAGTTCACAGCCTCAGTACCTCTAACTATCCCCCAGCTCTGTGGGGCATGGTGAACACGCTTTCATTTATGATGGGAAACTGGAACTCAGAAATTAGACTTCACCCCGAGACCACCCAGCTTACATATGGTGACACTGGGGTTCAAAAGCAGTGTGGAAACTAGGGTGCTGCTTATTGGGTGTTAGGTGCTTGAAGACAGACTGATCTTTCCTTCCGTGATTTGTAATATGTTCTGGTAACTCCGTGCTAACCCTGACTCGTGCTTTCAAGGAATGTGAAATGAAAGCAGAGACATTGCAGTATACCACCAAGTAGAAGGAGGAGTAGATACTAAATTGTACACAGTGTGATTATAAATGTGTTTTTTTAAAGGAGGAAAGAAAAGAAAATTATACCAAGACTTTAGAAAAATGTCTACCAAAATACTACTGATGGTTATGGAATTATGAATGGGCTTATGGGAGTTTCTTCCTTCTTTCTATTTTTTCAATCATTCTATTTTTCTATATTTTTTTACTTTTAAATAAAAATGACGGTAACCATGTTTTAGATTATCAGTAAAATGGAAAAAGAAACGTTGTTGGTGGCATTATCCATCTAGGCCAGCAGTTTTTAAGTACAATTCATGAACGTTCCCCCTCGGGGACCAGGAATCTATTTAGGGAAGCAGGGTATGAAACTCTGACCAGCCAAGCCCAAGGGCACGTAGCAGCTCAGTGTGGCCCCCATCCATTAGGAAGGGGGGACAAAGGGAGGCCCGTGTTTTTAAGATCATGTGGAAATAGGCCTGGGGTGACTAGCTGAGCAAGTGCGTGGAGGCAGGAGCCAGCTAGATGCTCGTCCGGGAAGAGTGGGCTACGGGGAAGACGCCGTGTGTAGGTCAGGCTTCCATGAAAGCAACCACGGCGGGTCCTTGACGTGACAAAGGCGTGCGGGTCTTGTGCCTTCTGAGCGGGAAAGCGTGTTCCAACAATGGGCGTGATGGAGCGTGTGTTTGATTCCTGCCTGGGAGGGAAGAAAAACAAAGGGGAAGGTCACTACCCAGCTCCCAGGTCCTTTCTAAGGTATCCTACAAAGTCTTAAGCTGACGTTCTTCACAACCGAGCCAATCATACTTTCCTGCTCAGAACCCTTCCATCCTGCACTGCCTCATCAGGTCAGCACAAAGACTGGGGGTGGGTATTCTAAGGTCCTTCACATTGAGGGGAGAAAATCCTTTTTTCTCTGAACCCTCATAAATTCTTAGTTAAGATACTCTCCCCAAAGCAAGTCAAATTAACAACAAAAAAATCCAGTAGAAGTTTATTTTAATATGGGCTGCCCATTCACCCTGAAGAGACTTCAGTTCAAAGTATCCCTCAAAGCAGTGGCTTGGATCATACAGTGCACCCCAAAAACAACCAAGCCGGCCTGGTCTCCCCGGGGACTGTGAGAAAGTACTCAGGTCTGCTCCGAGTGCGTCTGGTCCTGCCGAGGGCGCCCTGCACCGACATGTGAGCTGTCCAGGAGGGAGAGCTCACTGACGTCCGTAGCATTCAGGCAAACCAAGGAAAGGGCACAGTCCCCTGCTTTCTGCCTTCGTCAGCCCAGCCATTCCCAGTATTTTAGGGAGAGATGTTTTGGCTTCCCTCAGTAATTATGGAGCTGGCTGCCAGCATCATCCCCAGCCTCTCCCCAGGACGTCTTTGTGCCACCACGCCAGCTCCTGGGTGTCCCCTTTGCTTTTACTCTCTCCCACTTGCCTGGTTGCACCCTCTGTAGAAATACCCCCTTTACAACCGCCGTACCCTGACAAGGGCGGCTCTCCCTCTTCTCCGAAGACTCCTGGCGCGTCTGTTCATGTATTCGCACATTCATTTATTTACACATGCATTTATTCCCTCGTCCGCAGTCAGCCTGAGGTCGTGTTTATTCTTACGCTCGCTTACCACCACGCTGGGTAGTGCTCTGGAGGGCTGGAACCGGGCTCTTTCTCTTTGTGAACATTCGGCTGACACCAAGATTAGGGTGGCTGGTAGACACGCGGAAATGAGGGGTGTTTTGGAGAGCCACGCGGTGCCCAAGAGAAATGATGAGTTTGACTGAACCTCGCTAACTCTGCAGGGGAAAGGATGATGTTTAACTCAAATTCAGGCTTAACTATGCTCTGCTCCGCTGAATTTTTGGGCAACGAAATCAGCTGGTACAACGTCAGCAGCAAGGACTAAGGTTTTGCTCCAGCAGCCCGCCCCACACCCGGTGTCAGTTTCATGCATGCATTTACCAATTCTCTCATCATCCTTTCATCTCACAAGCGCCACGCACTACTACAGTCTAGACACTGGGGGACGCCGAGTAGGAATGTAAAGGAAAATAAAGGTCCTCTGTGAGACTCTGTCATTTATTGGGATTAAAAAACAAGTTTAAAACAAGGGAGAGGTTCTGCTTCTAATAACGAAGCATCCGTTTTACATCACTGTCCCACCAAAAACAATGATACAGGCTAAACAAGGTAAAAGAACATCTCACTAAAATCCCCAGACCATCAAGACTTGAGGGCCCAAGACCTGGAGAGAATAGAAAAACGGTGAGTCAGACACTGTGGATTTCCACCCAAGACAACGCCTCCACACGGAGTCCAAAATGCAGTCGGTTCGAAGGCTGGGAAGCCTTGCAGAAAATGCTGGGTCATCAGGAAAGTCATGACGCGCTTTGCATAGAGAACGGAGAAAGTGAGCAGATTTGGGTGGCCTCGTGGGGCTGGAAAGGAAAGTGCAATTTGAGTCTGTTCTCTCAGGGCGTTCGCTAACTGGCGAACAGCAGTACAGAGGGAGACTACGCAGACCGGGGGCCAAGATTATGGGAATAAACAGTCTTTGAGAGTCTCAGAAATAAAACCGGCACTGAGGACTTTCAAGGAGGAACAGTCTTCATAAACATCTTCATGAGAGTTTCTTCAGCAGCCTCGTAAGCAGGCTTCCAGTTAGAGTCCTAAGGAGCAAGGAATCAGAAATAGATCAGGCCTTAAGAGACTTGAAGAACCTCACCCTCTGAATAACTAAATCCTGATTAGATTCAAGTGACTATCCCCATTCTAACTGCTTGCTCAGAGCTAAGACTCATCTAAATCTTTATAATAGTCTTTATTTTTAATTTTTACATTCAATCACTCAAAAATCGTATATCATTACAGCACACCAAATGGATTTTCTTGTCATTAATACATTGTATATTGGTTCAGCCAAAGATATTATCATTCATATTATCATCAAGAGATAATTTTCCATTTTTGTGTCCCTTAAATGTTTTGTTTCTTTCTTTTTCTCTTTAATTCTTTCCCTCAGTGTGTCCTATTTCATCAAAAATGAACAAGAGCAGGGGACCAGCAGTTAGGGTAATGGCTATGTCACTGGACTCCCATGTAGTCAACCGCGGTTTGTGTCGCGGACCCGGCGGCTTAAACTCATGCCGGGTGTGTGTGTGCATGCCCAAGATCCCAAGAGGAGAATGGAGGAGAAGGGATTGCGGTGTGGCCATCCCCCCCGGGGGGTGATTTCTCGCTTTCTGTCTCTCTGTCTCTCTCGGTCTTTCCGGTGAGCACATGCGCCCAGTAGCAAACAAAACAAACAAACAAGAAAACTCTCAAAAAAAATGAACAAGAGCACCAAAAGGCAGAACCAAGAAGCAGATAACAGAAATAGGCCCACCGGTCCAGACGTTGTGGTCATCAGATCTAGGCTTTATGATTACTCTAAGCAACACGTTCAAGACAGCAGGTACACCGCTTCTCTGCAAACTGGCATCTGAATTAATCGTCAAAGATGGGTATCAGCCAAGCAGATGCTGACTCCGTGAAGGCTAGAGTTCAGATGCACCTGACTCCAGCAACGATGAACCACAGGGTGGAGAACGAAGTAGGGAAGGGTGACGTTCACCAGCCCGACGAGGAGGGAGTGTGGCTAGGATTGAGGCAGGAGTGCAGGGAGACCTGACAGGCCTTCCTCCCACGGATGACAGGACGCGGGCTGGAGGGAGTGCCCATGGAGCCAAGCTCCCAGATGGAGCAGAGCTAGACCGAACTGATAACTCACTGCTGTTTGTCCATTTTAGGATTTCTTCAGTAAATCTGACCCATTTCTGGAAATTTTTCGTATGAATGATGATGCAACTCAGCAGCTCGTGCACCGAACGGAGGTAAGCAAAGTCATCCTTGGCTGACCCTTCCCCGAAGATGACAGATCAGTTTGCTTTAAGAAACTCCTGATAGTTATCTCTGTCAGTGTGCACTTGAACCCGGAACTGCTAGTGTCTTCACGAGGACTCCAACTTTTGTAGTTATTTTTTTAATTCTCAATTTACATTTTATAAAAGATGACTCCCAGTAACCCTAATTGTCATTGTTGATCTTCAATACAGACAGCAACTTACTGATAGGAAGTACGTAATTACCAGCTGAGCTTTAGTGAGATTGGCCAGCTACTAATATTGTACTAAGTGACCTGCATGCACTGTTCACTTACAACCTCGTCACACGATCATTATTATTGTCACTGTCCTCACTTAAAAGTTAAAGAAACGGGACCAGCAGGTAACGTGGTGGTTAAGGTGCTGGACTCCCACATGACTGATCATGGTTCAAGTCCCAGACCTGGTGGCTTGAAAACCACAGTGGGTGCATGGGCCTACGTGCCCAAAATCCCAGGAGGAAAATGGAGGAAAGGGGATTGTGGCATGGCCATCCCCTGAGGTGGGGGGGAGGGTGATTTCTCACATTCCCTCTCACTGTCTCTCTCCTCTCCAGCAAGTGCATGTGCCATATGGAAAAGAAAAAAAAAACCTTAAAAAATAAAAATCACAGAAATCGAACTTAGATTAAGTCATCTCCCTAAGTCAGTCACTTTACTGAGCGGTCTTGTGGTTAGTAAAGGCTGAAGCTGACGTTCAAGTTGAGATTCTCTGACTGAGCTTTGTAGTAATTTGGGAAGCTGGTGTCTCCCAGGAAGCTCATGCACTGGAGCGGGACCGCCCTGTCACAGGGACAGCTGCCCTGCTCAGAAGCCACTTGGTCTGGCTGTGCCTCCTTCCCAACCTCCTCCTCTTCTCCAAGTGGCCCGGCCCTTGTCTCTCCCTGTCTGCCACCTGCTGCCCACACCACGGCCACCCACGCCACCCATCTCCACTTTTAATGCTGTTTTGTTTCTAAGCCACTGCAGGGGGTTCTCACGGTGTGGGAAGCACAGGGAAAAGGAGGGAGGGGCGTAGTGCTGATCAGCTTGGAACCGAGAGAAGACCCTGCGTGCTTACATCCCTGTGGCAGGGCAGAGAGGAGACCTCGCGATTTCTGTACGGTGGCGGTGAGCTGCCGTGCTCCCACGGTCTCACACTACACGCCCAGTTCCACTTTCCATAGGTCAGAGTTGTAGGCGCTAAGGGGAGTCATCATGTCGTTCTTAAGGGGGACAAGAATGGGCGAGTGGTAGCTGTCGTCTGGCACACAGCAGGTGCTGATAAAGCGTGTTTCGTGAGGGAATGAGTAAGTGGGTGGAACTGAGCGTGAGTGTGTGTCCACCATGTGCGGGAGAACGGTGTGACTGTGGCACTTCGTCCTGGGGAGACAGATCAAGGTACAGCTGGCAGGCAGCCCTGAGTGCACCCCACCACCATCACGTGGTCTCCGTGATGCAGTAAGCTCTGGGAAGACCCGGAAGTAAGTGTCCATCCATACTTTTGTTCAAGTGAATGAAGGCTTTTTCTTTTTTTAAATTTGCCAGATGGCACAGATGCTGGCTGGGGACGGTGGGGAGAAAACACCTCCGGCAGGAGACAGACCACAAACCTTTCTGCTCCACTTCTCCATTTCACATTTTGGGGCATGCACACATAGGCGCCTGGTGTGTTTTCAAGTCACCAGTGCCAGGACTTGAACTCACGGTCAGCCATGTGGGATACCTCGCCGCTGGCTGGCCCGAATGGGGGCTTTGATCAGGGAGAAAAGAGGTGACGGCATGGTGTTAGACTTGTTCGCTCCTTTTCCCCGGCGACATTCCTCCTCTCGTTATTGATACTGGTAAATTCTCCCATTCCTAAAAATTTCCAGAACTTTCTTCCTTACTCTGACCCTGAGGGGCTCCTGGAGTCCTCACTCTTCCCAGGAGATGAGGCAGTTGAGTTCTCCAATGAGTTTAGCAATATCACATTGATTTTCCTCTTGCTTGCTCAGAAGATGCAAAATAAATACAGGCAGTACTCCCAGGGGAAGCACACACACACGTACACAGTGGATTAATTCAGATTTTAATTTCAGAGGGCATTTCTAGTTGACATTTTGATCTGCTGTTGAATTTTTCAGAACTGTTGTGATGAAACAGCTCCACTCAGTATTTTCATGTGAATGTGAGGAGCTTAAATTAACCTGAACAGTTTTATCTAATTTTTATCTAATTTTTCTTCTCAGTTTCCCTTTGATCATTGTCAGAGTATTCAGACACAAAGTCACGCAGTAACATTATTTTTCTACTTTAATGCACTAGAAGAAATTTAATTATGAGTCCATGAGTTAATCAATAATTCATAGCTATATTAGGAACCCAGCAGAAGAGGGACTCAGTCATAAAATAATTATGTTATTTGAATAGAAAATTAATTTTTTAAAAAACGCTAAGATTTCTACTAACTAAAAACTTTATAGGAAGAAAGTCAACAGGACAGAATTCCGTTTACCCGTGTGTGTGTGCCTCGTCATGTAGCAGGTCAGCCGGGGCCACCTCCAGATGCCCACCAGGGTTAGGGTGGGACCTGAGAATGTGCTTTCAGTCAGTTCCCAGGTGAGGGAGTCCTGCAGTGTAGAAAATGCACCGTGGGCAGCCCTGTTCTGCAGCATGTGAGATGGCGCTAGGCCCCACGTAGCGACTCTGAGGCTCTGAACGATGCAAATCGTTTTAACCACAGCAAGAGCAGGGTAAGTCTCAACTTGCATGCAGCTTGGACGGGATTTCCGAGTTCGCGATGAGCGAGCTGCTTTCCCAGCAAAGGTTTTCTTGACCTGTCAACTCAGCGTGTAGTCAGAGCTGCCCCGTTGTGCTTTCCAGGAGAAAAGGGAAGTATGCTGCTGGGATTTTTCTTCTAGAAACTTCTCTAATTTGCAGTTTGATGCAATTCAAGGTCACAGATGACAAGCGACCATCAGTTTATTAGTGGTAGAGTCATTCTGCCACACCCCATTATGCCTCCGAGTCTACCTCTGCTCACCCTGAGAGAAGGAGAGCACCGTAGGACCATCCTCCAGGACTGGAGGTCTTCTAGCAATGGCCACAAGAAATCTCACGTCCTTAATCTGAGCCCCTTTGACATGGAAGGGACCATCTTCCATACCCGCATGCTGGACAGTATCACTGCCCTTGTTCACGAAACAGCAGCCGGGCCAGTGACCCCGGGAGCTCAGCCCACAGTGACCTGCTTCGTAGACACTCCTCAAAGATTCGCTGCTCCGAGTTTTCACTAAGGCACACGTTCCAGACAGTTGCCCTCTTCGTAAGCACCACAAAGGCTTCCCCAGGAGTTTTGTATGGAAATGTGGAAATGTCAAGCCTTTCCCTCCTCCATTCCCACTCCTCTCCTTCTTCTCCCAGGTCGTGATGAATAACCTCAGTCCAGCCTGGAAGTCATTCAAAGTATCGGTCAATTCGCTGTGCAGTGGGGACCTAGACCGCCGGCTAAAGGTCAGAAACTTGCGTCCGGGAATCGCTGATTTCTGACACGTGCTCCCCATGACTGGGGACTGCCTCTGGAGGTGCCTGGCTGCCATCTGGGATGACTAGGAAAGTTGGGTCATATGGCCGTCACCATACAGCAGGCCAGCCCGGACTCTACTCACCGTGACTTTAAAGAAAGCAAGAACAGGGCCAGCAGGTGGCATGGTGGTTAAAGTGCTGGTTCAAGTCCCAGACCTGGAGACTTGTTTTCTCACTTTCCCTCTCTCTCTCTGTCTCTCCCTGGTGAATTAAAATAATAATAATAAATACTACTAATAATAAATGAATAATTACTTTTTTAAAAAGTTAGAAAGAAAGAACAAGAGCTATTTGGACCCTCCGAGGTTGAGGTCCAGAACTCGCACCTCCTCTATCCTCTGTAAGCCAAAGCAAGCCACGTGGCTGTTCCAGATTCGAAGGGGAGGAGACGGATTCTACCCCTTGATGGGAGGAGCTCCGAAGTATTGCAGCCATTTTTTCAGTATACCGTAAATGCTTTTGGAGCACCACAGCAATGCGGCAGTTAAAGAAAAGGAGATGCACTGGCGGGTCGGGAATCACCAAGGTGGGCAATAAGCCCAACGCCGTAGCAGGCTCCGGGGACAGTCCCTGCAGTCCCTTGTCTGCCCCTGCCTCCAAGTCCAGAACTTTCACATTGCCGGTGCCCTAGTGTCGATCCGCCAGTTCAGGATAGTTTACCCACATCTGGTTCTCACAGAACAGCTTCTGGTGATAAGAGCTCCTAAATTCTTGTTGGTAAGGAATGGGAGTGTAAGCAGCCTCGTGGATCTTTTCCGAATGTCATTTCCTTGGCATATTTCACGGCTTCATCCTTCAGTTCCTTCGAACAGTCTCTGAAGTAGCAAGCACCAAGCCTACACCACTAAGGATAATAAATCCTGACTTCTCTTTTAGAATGTGCGATTTTAAGTGTATCCACATTACATCAGGAAGGGGGGTGAAGTGAGTGGGATGAACGGGATTCAGTTAAGTCTTGAAGTGGGTGAAAAAGAAAGGGCCATCCTCTAGATTCTGAAGCTTGAACCTTTACTGCAATTTCCTTGTCTCCAGGTCCCCCAGTCCTCCCCGTCCTTCGGCAATTAGACCTCTACCCAGACGCATTGTGGTCGACCACCCAGCACGCCTGGTCGCACTGCATTAAAACCCTTTATGACAGCTATCCCTTAGAAGAGTAAAAGTCTAAATGGACCTGTCAGGAAGCATTCCCTCCAGCCCATCTCCCGGCAGACCAGGGGCCTCTTCGTGGCTGTCTTGAAGCCCACTCAGCCACTCACCAGCTCCTCCCAGCGGTGAAACTGACTCCGGAAGGCACACAGTGTACCCGACCATAGCAGATCTGAGGCAGGTCAGCACATGACCTAGAAAAGTGCCGTCCAACTTGAGCAGCATCAGAGACACCCGAGAACGTGTGAGCCCACGGTGAGGGACAGCCGCCCAACATGAGCCCACAGTGAGGGACAGCCGCCCAACGTGAGCCCACGGTGAGGGACAGCCGCCCAATGTGAGCCCACGGTGAGGGAGGGACAGCCGCCCAACGTCAGCCCACGGTGAGGGACAGCCGCCCAACGTCAGCCCACGGTGAGGGACAACCGCCCAAAGTGAGCCCACGTGCGGGAGGGACAGGCCACCCAC